CAAAGGGCCCCGTGGGTGCTGAAAAACCAGCTTTAAATAGTCTTCAGTGCTGATCCTCAGGGAATCGCCTCACGCCTTAAAAGACCTAATTTAATAAATTTGCTCTTTAGGCGTTCATCTTTTCGATTTGCATCCTCTTATTACCGATTCATTCACATGCAGCCCCTTTTTTTGGTCTAAATATTGCCCCTCTTAGCTAATGTTCAAGCAGACATGTCGTACTCTTTCAGGAGGACCACCTACATTAGTTTCCACCGCAGCTCGGTTCATTAGCACCTCGGAGATAATACAGCAGCTGTATGCTTAATGTGAGCACAGCTAAGTTTCTAATTTAACACAAATAATTCCCCTTGATCTCCAGTGAAATTTATGCAGACGTGGAGGGGGGTGGGGGGTAGAGAGCTTAATCGTGGCTCGTCCAAGTAAAGTAAGTATATACATAAAATGAATTATAAATGGAAAACTGTSTTTTAAGTTACCGCAGGGAGAAAGAGAGTGTGTGTGTCACTGAAGAAGAGAATATTAGTAAAAGCTGTGTGAAAGTTTATATGAGTGCAAAAATTATTATATGGAGCACTATGAAAAGGAGAACTGTGGCATTGCTGAGAGAGTAATATATTAGAAAATTCTGATTTATTTGATTTTATCTTACAAGAACATGGTGTCACAGACCACAGGGGGAAAAGTTGGGCATATTTGCTTGTCACAAAATGTTGCAAGATCCCATTTAGGTGGGCTAGAAATATTTGAGACAAAACCGAAACCCTTTCAGTATCATGCCATAAACAAAAAAAAGTGTTTTTAAGAAATTGTTTTAAAAAAAACATCAAAAGATGTAACAAGAAAGTCTCCTCTTTTCAACAAAAATGAATATTTCTGACCTTGTTTTTGTCATTTTGCCTGTAAAGTTCCAACATTTATAAAATTTTTGAGTAAAAAAGTTGTATTGGAAAAAAAAAATTTCAAAGCAGTTTCTGAAATGATTAGTTGATTGTTTCTGACCAAACCAACGGCTCACAGTAAGGAATGTTATTGTGGGATTTAAATGTTTTATTTCAAGTTGAAAAGGCAAGGCGAAAACTGAGATTTGTGGAAACATAAAAAGAGAATAGTTGCTAAATTTAAAAATAAAATAAAATAAAACTAAAAATCACCTTCTTTTTTTAATAATCTGAGTGTGCTGATTCAAAGCTCCTGGCCTTTTTTTTTTTTTTTTTGCTCTAACTTTATTTCAACTGGTAAAACCAAAATATATTAAATGTAATTCTTATGTAGATTGTCAATCAGGAAGCTGAAAACCTCGCAGCACAGAGCAGAATCAGCAGGGTTGGATTAGTCAGCTCAATCACCGTGATGCTCCACATCATAAACCTGTAAATCTGTTTGTTAAAAATAAAATAATCCCGACTGAGTCTTCTGGAACCAAATCATCTGAATCATATGTTGACTTCTTTTTAAATCCTGGTTCAAAGCATGTGAGCTGCTGGTCTCAGTCCGTGTTTCTCTGGATCTGCGAGCTTGTTCTGATTCATAAAAGAGCCTTTGTTTTAATAAAAGCTGCAGTCTGCAGCCGGCTCTGACAGCCCTGACTTGTGCCAGTTTATAGAGCTGATATTGATCCTTTCTGGAGAGCTGTAATGTCATTCCACCATGCAGCTAGTTTATGAGCAGAGTTGCTGATGTTGCTTAGAAAAACAGGCTTTTGCACAATTTTCTTCGAGCAATATCTCACTGTGCAGCTTTTATCTCTGACAGTGTGCATCCAAAGTCAATATGTGGTTAAAAAAATAAAATCTGGTTTGTGGCAAATGTCATGTCATCAAATGTAAATAAGATCAAACTGTGGAAAATATATGAGCTTTTGGAGCATCTATACATCGACAAATGAAAACTTTAGGAACAGATTCTGATTGATACTTCTTTGTTTTGAAGCCCCGCCCAGAAATGAGAAATAATACCATTTTACTGAAATAGATTTGGTGAGATTTTTAAAAAACTAAAAGAAAAAATAGATTATCTCTGTGCCTCTGCATGTTGAGYTCAGTCTGAACATCTCAGCAGTTTGTAGAATGTCTGATAATCCAAAACTAACAGCATTTTAATCAAAATAAACTTATTTTCGGTACAAGTTTGCCAATCGTGAAGATGATTTTAGAATGATAAACCTGCAACATAAAAGCTCAGCCGGGTGACGTACCTGGAGCTGCTGCAGGATGGATTTTATGGGCTGGACCTGGTGTTTCCTGCAGCTCTGCTCGTAAGCCACAATTACGTCTGCCAGGGTGATGCAGCGTCCAGCTGAAAGAAGAAYGTATTCAGCTTTAATGAACTGCTTTAAGACACCAGAAAGCATTAAATSAGGTCAAATTTAATGTGAACATCATAATGTAGGTATGTGGACATTTCCTTCCTGAACTGCTGTGACCGGATTGAGAAACGCTGCTCTGAGCGGTCGCTTATTTCCTCCTGTTTCGTTATTTCTACAAATTTCAACAAACCGTGCTGACGTCAGGAAGCTGCGGATTTGTTTTTTAGTTTTTCATTTCTGTTATTGCGTTTTGAAATAGGATGAAATTCAATCATTGGAGTTTTTAAAACCGTTGAGCTGACGTGAAGAAGATTATTTTATGGAGTTCCACAGGGTTCAGTCCTTGGTCTACTTTTATTTCCTTTTTACATAAATAAATTGTGCGATAATTTATCATATTTTTTTATAATTTTTACGCAGATGACAGGAATTTACTGCAAAACAAGCAACGTAATTCTATCAATCAGTGTTATTGCTTTTAAACTGTTTTGCAATTTGCTTTAAACCTGTGTGTATGGTTTAATTTGTTTTATTTTTGTGTAACCAGCTWGTTGTGTTGCAGTTGTCTGCCCATGTCCCTCTTGCAAATGATATCTGGATCTCAGTGTGGTTTTACTTGGTTAAATAAAGGAAAGAACTAAAAAATGTGTCTTTGTTTCAAGTTTGATTATGATCTGAAAWGCTGAAACAGATTTTTTTTTGCTACGGAAAAGCAATGGTTAGCAAAGTGTGTTAATGCTCGTCTTCATCACGTGACACATTTCGCACACGGTCATTGGTTGAGGAGCTTTGCATACAAAACAATTGTCCAATGTTTTTTTAATGTTATTTATTTATTGTCTGGTTTTTAGTCAAGTTGATTTGACGTCGCAGTTTGGTGACTTGAGCCTTGTAACATATCTTTTCTGCATCAGATTTTACAATGTTTTACTGTTTGAATGATACAAGGTGCTTCCTACAAAATACAGAATGATCTTGAACATTAAGGAAGTAATGAGAAAAATAGATAACAACAAAGCAAAACGGTCATAAAGACCTGATTGGTTCAGTGATGAAATCATGATCTTGATTACAGCGAAACAAACATCCAGAACTTCCTTCATACATGAGATAATCACATGATTTTGATGTTATTTTAAAAGTTTTTTAAGGTTGTTTTTGAATCTACTGTCAGATTTGCTGGTGTGGGATAAATAGTATCCACACATCCCTACATAATGTAACATAAATAAAATAAGTAAACAGCAAAATGTAAAATATAACAAATTTTTAGACTTTTTACTGGTTTGAATTACCATGAAAACAGTTTTAATTTTTGGGTCTAGTGACTAATTAAAAGTGAATTATGATTTTTCTGAACAAAATGAAAAGTGAAAGTTGTGACAAAAACAAGAGATTTTATGCATTCTATGACTGTTTCCCTGTTTGTTAGGTGGATCAACCTTTTATTGTGTAAAAAAGCAGCAGCTCACCTGTTCTGTCCGAGTTCCTGTGCTCAGCAAAGCCTGATACTATCTGTTCATCAGGAGGGAAGGACACGTGTTTTCCTCTTTTCTTCTGGATTTTGGAGGGGAACTCTTCACTGTCCTCCCTTTGTTCACCGCCGTCACTACAGCGCGTCATCTCTCCTCAGATCCAGGAGAAATCTTGAGTGACTGAGTGGGTTTAGCTCAGGCAGGAAACTCTTCTGGTTGGAAACATGACAACAGATCCTGATGTTCTCCTGATTTAACGCAGGAAACAAACAGTTGGTGAAGCAGCGGCCCTCTTTCAGCTTTTCTCTCCACTCTGTGGCACCTAAAAAAAAAGACACTAAAGAACCAATATCTTATTCATGAGTTGTGCAGGAGGTTGCAGGTGATACCCAATATGTTTGTATCAAATGACACATTCAAAACATATAAAGCCTTGAACATTAACATACCTATTCAAATTCTGGCTTTGCACCAACAGTCTGGACTGCACAGACAATGTGGCAGAGCTTCATTAAAAACATCACATATTTTTTTTATTCTTTATGGAAAACAACAGCTTCTGTTTGCAACATTCCAAGAAACATGTTATAAAGGCTGCTGTTACAAACAATACACTTTACAGTCCTATTATCATATTTTCAATTTCATTTTAAAAAAAGTCGCATAGTAAAATTTGAATGATTTGATCAATTTTGCCCACAAATATTAAACACACTCACTGTACCAACATTTTGAGAATTTTATAGGAAATCATTGACACTGATAGCATCAGAGTATATATTTTCCTATATTTCTCCTAAGTGTTTAAAATACATTCAACCAACATTCCTTACCCTTTGAACGATATAAAATGAGGTCGAAGAAGAAAGGTTTAGCTAAAATTAGTTTCTAATTAGCAAAARGTGGTGATGCATTTAAAGACCATCRGAGATGGGAGGACTCAAAAGCATTTATTCCTGAAAACTAATCCTAGCAAACACGTGTTCTTTATAGCTTCCATCGTATTTTTGCCACTTACTATAATCTATTCCTTATCATCGCGAGGTTACATGAACCTCAAAACTGTAGAACTAGAACGAAGAACTCTGTCTAAAGCTTTAGCTTGAAAAACATCAAAGTTTCCGTCTTTCCGAGTATTTTATGATACCTGAATGCATCTGTACGTTCCGGACATTACGCTTCGTCGTCGACCAATAGAACAACAAAGCGTCATGACGCTACTTCCTGAGCGGCAGTTTGGCTGACAATTCGGTTCTCTGATATATTTAGTAAATAATCGACTATAAACAACAAAGTGACGGTGTGTATTCTTCTTAAATCTTACACAAATGTGTTTTATTGTCGCGGAGAACCGATGTCCCGAACAGCGTGTTTAGAAAATTGCCGGAAGTACCAGATAAACTAAGGCTACGCTGTTAGCATACGCTAACTAGCTCTAAAGCGTAATAGTTTTGTATTTACAAACTTTTCCGATCAAGGAGACGTTATATTCTATTTATAAGAGGCACTTACACAGTCATGCATAGTCACAGTCATTACATAGTTTGTCTTTTACACAGGGCATACCTGTAACTAAACTAAAGTTGTTAAGTTGACTAGATCAACATTAAGCTGTACTCTGGTTTGCTTCCTGTCTGATTTAAAGTTGTGGGGGGAAAACTGTGTGAACGTTTATCATAATCCACACAAAAGAAAGAATAACTAATCACACAGATCTGGTACCAGAAACCTTTTCAGATCACCGGTCTGGGTGACGTCATGGCGTTACTGTAACTGGTTTTGTCAGATTTTATTGCTAGAATCTTTTCTAATTCATATCTTCTGTGGTAATCAAATTGTTAAATAAATACATTATAACACGAAAAATAAATAACTATATTTTGTTAATTTAAAAAAGTAATGAAGTCACAAAATCTCAACATTCATTGGCTCCTCACAATCCTAATCTCAATCTTATTTATTTACCCTGATGAGTAAGATTTATTAAGTGTTGCTCTGAAACATCTGGCAGCAAAGCTTTATAGGATGGAACAGTTTTCCATTTATTAAAACTAGATCAGTTTTCAAACTAAGAAATAAAAGAAACATTGAATGTTATGTAATGTTTATTTAACTCAGTTTTAAAAATGACTGTCACTAAAATACATCTATTTAACTCAGGAACCGTTCATTTACCTGCCTGTCATACATTAAATCACCCTGTCAGTATTTTATTGATATCTAGTTTCCTTTTTTTCAATGTTGGTGAAAGCATTGTCCGCTCCTCAGTCAAAATCTGTACTATCACTCAACCATTTTATATACTTTATTATGATTTATATTGAATTTTACCATTTTTAAATTTAATAATGACAGATAATATCTGTGCGTATTTTTCTACCTTGTGATTTCATGGAAACTAATGTTTGCAGCTCATTCTGCTTTCTGAGGATTTGTCGAACCCTGCTCTGTAAAGTAGGACCTGTGTCTAACAGTTCTAACTGCACCTTTCAGATGCCCCCCAAACCCAAGGCGGCAGGAAAAGGCCGAGCGCCTGCAAAACGGAAGCTGGCGGAGGAGTTTCCTCCAGGTGAGGTTCTGACAGACACCGGAAAGAAATCCTGGAAGCTGGGCGCTCCAATCGGGAAAGGGGGGTTTGGGCTCATATATCTGGGTAAGAGTTATTAAACATTTATAGAAATATTTTATTATTCAAATGGTATCATTTTTTAAAGGAAACTTTATGTTCACTGATCAACAGTGTAATCTGCAGTTATTTGTATTTTCTTTGTGTTTTTTTCCCACCAGCTGATCAAAATTCTGAAAAACCTGTCGGTGCTGATGCTCGCTACGTCATTAAAGTGGTAAGACTGAGATGTTATCAACAGTTTTTCTGTCTCTTCTAGTGAAATTTATCTTAATTAGAAGGGAACTGAAATGTCATTCACCTTTTGGTTATTTTGGTGCTTTCTGTTTTGATTTATTTTGGTTTGAATTTGRTAAATATGCATATTTCTCTGCTTCAAAGCCTTTGTTTTGAAATGTGCTGAGGTTAGGTTTAGATTATTCATTTAGAGAAAAGACAAATATTTAGATCTAAATATAAAGTTGTGTTCAACTCTGGGGATCTGAGTTATCAGCTACTTGGAATTAGGAATATTTAAGTCATTTTCCATTATTAAAGGGATCCCTGATTAGTTGTAACATTAGACTTTATTAGATAAACATATTTTAACTGTAAAATAAAGACTGTACAAATACTGTAGGCTATTTAATTTTGTAAATTTTAAAAAATATATTTTAACACGGACTGAGCCATTTTATTTACACACAAAGCATTCTGGGTAAATGATGACGTGGATAGGTCCTCTGTGCGAGGCTGCTAGCTCCATCCTGAAGGTTAATCTTGGACAATATCTGATGATCGACTCTTTTAAATGAAACCAGAGAGCGTTGACAGAGAGGAGAAGGTAGAAATGACTCAGCCTGGAACTGAAAATATGGATGGAGGACAACAGAGCTGCTTCATGGAAGAAGAACCTCAGCTTAGCCTATTAGCCTTTGCGCTAGCGCCGACGCTATATAGCCTTATATGTATTAGCTCAGTGTTAGCACAACAAACAAGCTAAACTGAGGTCCTCCATCCATATTTTCAGTTGCAGCTGAGTCATTTTTGTGTTCCCCTCTCTGTTATGTGGATGTAGGACCTCAGTGACGAGAGGAGAATGTGTAGCGCTGAGCTAATGTATATATGGTGATAGCATATCACCATATATTAGGGGTGTAAGAAAATATCGATACACTGAAATATCACGATATTTCATTTCCCGATACTGTATCGATATTCTAAAGCCCTGTATCGATTTTTTTTATTAAGGTTTAAAATGTCAACTTTCCTGCCAGCCGTTCATTTTTCTGTTGTAGTTCAACCTCTGACCACTAGTTGGCAGCAGTGAGCCAGCCATTTGGCTCCTCTACCTCTTGAGCACCAGAGAGTAAGAGAGCATTAGCATTGTAAGTAAACATTAGCTTCATGCTCCGATAGCTGAATCTGAGCRGAAAAGACCGACACCCTCTGCCTTCTAAGCTGAGATAAAGTTACAAACAGTTACTTGTTTGTCAGAATGTCTGTATTTTAAGACAAATTAAGTGTTTTGTTCGCTCTTTTTTCCAACTGTAGTCAGCTTTCACGTTACGCATATAGCGCATGCGTCTATCACCTCGAGCGAGCTCGGCACTCCCCCGTGACATAAAACTCTGTCTGTTGCTCTCAATGTCCGGCTGATGATCACATCAAAGTCCATATACTTTATCCTGCTGTGTTCGCTTCAAAAACTCGTTTAGCTTCTCAATTTCTTAACTGGTTTTCTTCGGGACCTGCCCTGCTGTTCGACCCACAGTTATACAAATCAGGTTCTGGATGCAGGTCAGCTGATCCCAGAAACTCTGTGCAGCAGCTTCATATCATCTGTTTACTGAACTTTATGACAACATAAACACTATTGTTAAGTGTTGGGTGACCATATTGTAAATTAATATTAAAAACTAAAAGCTGCAAAAAATATTTTCAAACTATTTATTGGCAAATTTAGTCTAATAATTGAAAACATGGATGAATTATGAAACAAATAAAATAAAACACATACAAAGCAGAACACAGCTAAATGTATCAAAAGTATGTCTATGTAATAGTAGAATTTTCTGAGACAATGAATTTTGGTTTTTATTTAATAGAATTTTTGGACCAAAAATATCGCAATATATCGCCTTGTTTACAGTATCGAAATATATCAGGATATATCGTATCGTGACCCCTCTGTCATGATATGTATCATATCGCCAAATTCTTGCCAATGCACAGCCCTACCATATATAAGTACATATATATGTACAAATTACAGGGGCCGGGGCGTGAAATATCTCACTTGTATTTAAAGAGACCGCACCAAAACAGCTTGCTCTGAGACGCAGCTCAGAACAGGGGTAAAGCAAGGAAAGCAAGGAGTCTGTGGAGCAACAAAAACGAGGAATTAAGACCAAAGCGTTGCAGTTTTATTTTAAATAGACCATAAGTGAATGATTTAGACGTGAAAAAGAAGGATTTAAAAGCAAGATATGATACCTTTAAATAAAGTCTAATGTTATAACTAATCATGGATCCCCACAACTTAAACCTCAAAAGAAAAATAACATTTCAAGCAACAATTTGTTGCATCAGATAGTTCTGAGCTAAAAAAGATCTGATTTGCAACAAGTGTTGTACACAAGAAAGTTACTGCAGGTAAAACATTTACTGCTGGTCGGTATTCTACACAACCTCACTTAAAAAAACCCTTAACTGTCCCTTTTTAATTCTTTAGTTAGCCTTCTGTTTATTTTTTTGGTTTTCCCAGTCTGATCCAGGCCTTGCTTGTTGTTCTACAGGAGCCCAGTGACAACGGGCCGCTGTTCTCCGAGCTGCATTTTTACATGAGAGCCGCCAAGCCCGACATCAGTGAGTCGCATTATCATTCACCGTCAGAGGCTGTGATCACGACGCGGCGTCTGCAGCAGGACAAACAAATAAAAGAAAGCCAACTTTCTTAATTAAAACGACCGTGTTGCGGCAGAGGCTCAGAGGGGCCCCGGAGTGGGGGTGGAGCTCCGTTGGCCCCCAGGCCACAGCTTTGCATTTTATATAATAACAATCCAAATGTCAGGCTCCCCTGACAATTAACTGTTATATTACTAAGGAACCAAAGACTCATATTTTATTCATGTAGGAATCTCACGTTGTTGGTAAATATTTGTCCCAGCAGCAGATTAGCTTGCAGCCATGCTGGACCCCGCCCCACTCCACCACAAACACACACAGAACTACACTCTTCGTGGCTTAACATCACTCACGTACACCAGCAGCAGAAAATATCCTCCTCTCAGGCAGGACTGCCTGATTTACTGGGTGCAGATTTTAAGGACTTCATGTTCATGAAATATAAATCTGTGAGTCGTTTTCTCTTGTGCTGCAGTTCAGAACTGGATGAAGTCTCACAAGTTAAAGCATCTGGGGGTGCCCAGGTACTGGGGCTCAGGTCTGCATGAGAAAGGAGGGACAAGGTAAGCAGGGGACTTAAGGACTGTTTGTTTCTATAGATAAATAACTTGAGCTTACAAAATCAAAAAAAATAATGGAATCAAAAAGAGATTTTATCTCTATTGTTTTAGTCACTTATTCATATTTTTACAAGTGTGTTTTACAAACTAATACTCACAGTTTTTAAAGTTGCGGCCGTCCTCTCTGCCTGCAGGTATCGCTTCATGGTTATTGACAGACTCGGCACAGACCTGCAGAAGAAGTTTGAGGAATGTGGAAAGAGATTCCCCAGAAAACTGGTCCTGCAGCTCGGCCTCCGAGTGGTTAGTCATCAAAACGTGAAACTGTTTAATGTTTCTGTTTATGCTGAGTTCTTATTAACTGAAGAATTTCTAAATTAAGATCATCACGCAAGGTTCCTGCAGATCCTTAAAAAGAATTAAAAGTCATTGAATTCATCAATCCAAAAATAAGGTCTTAATTAGCCTTAAAAGGTCTTAATTAAATCTTTCAGAAGTCTTAAAAATGTGAACACATCGTACATAGGATGATTGTAATTCATCTCAAATATTAAAATAATTGGTAAATTATTTTTTTTAAATATTCACGTGCGGACATTCCCCTTTGACATCACTTCCTGTTATTTCACATGCAAATATCTCAACAACTGTCCATCTGCGCAATGAGAAATTAGTTTCATAATATGTTAATAATGTTGTCTTTCCTAAAATGCATTTATATTCCTTACAAAAATTGATGTCACAGGCACTTGAATTTTTCATCTACAGCAAATTGGGTCCTAAAACTCCAAATTTTGGGTCATTAGAGGATTTCCAGGAATTAAATAAAGTTTAAAACTGACTGCTAAGAATGTTTCTGCTATAGTTAGCTATGGATAAAAACAATTGGTCTTTTAGCAATATTTGAATACTTCAACCAAAAATACTTTGATTCACGAGTTTCTGCCAGTTTTTATTTTTTGTCATTTATGTTTTATTATGAAATTGCTCTTAAATTGAATTTCACTTGGCATTAAAAAGTCTTAAATGTAACTTGCAGTAAACTGTAGGAACCCTGATCACATCAGATCCTTAAAAACCAAAACCAGTCCCAGTTTTTCAGCAGCCAGTTAAAGAGGAGTCGGTTTGTTCTAACGCGAGATCCAAACTCTTTGTCCTGTTTTAGCTGGACATCCTGGAGTTCATCCACGAGCACGAGTATGTTCACGCCGACGTTAAGGCGTCCAACCTCATGTTGAGCCACAGCGATCCAAACCAGGTCAGTACCATCAGAACCTCCAGGCTGCTGTTTGAGTCAGCTTCGATTATTTGTTTCAGATGTTCGTTGTCAGGAAGCAGAGGTGCTTCTGTGACCACAGAGATGGTTGTGATTGTTGTTGTTACACACTCGGATCGCTTCAATAGATTCAATTAAAGTCTGCAGTGTGTGTGTGTGTGTGTGTGTGTGTGTGTGTGTGTGTGTG